TTGTTTCTCCCGACTTATTTTTATCATTACCTGTTGGTTTGTGTTATTTCAGATAAATCTATAGAACTGGGTTGATCAGTGACAGAATGGAAGACACACTATTCTGTTTATAAGTAAAACTTATAAGAAACATCTAATTTTTCAGCATTTTTTTTAAGTTTTAGTTCAAAGCTCACAGGTTAACGTAGCTGCCCAGAGACATTAGCTCTAAGTTTGTTCTTATTTTAAGTGTTTACATTGAAATTTACTTACTTTAGGAGCCTGTAACCCTGTAGCTGCAAAGATACCAGTCTGTCTGCCAGCATCTATCATGTACCATTTGTGTTTATTAGTCTCTCTCCTTGAATTTACCTGCTTACTTTCTGCTTCAGCTGTACCACATGTCTTCTGATTGGTTCATTTCGTTCCTTGTTTCTTTCCATGCTTCTACATAAGTTCTCTGGTTTTCATTGCTCTTTGTTGGATTCTTCTGTTAATCTTCCTGAACGCCATGTCCTGCACCTCCTCTTCAATTTTACTTTTATTTCATTATTAAAGATACTCTGTTCTGCCACAGTCTCTACACTTAAATGCTTTACAACACGGAATCTCATTAAAACATAAGCTTATCTTATCCATAGTTACACCAACACCAGTATGTCAGGCTAAAGGACACCGTGTCTGACACTGTGGTCAGCAGCACAGGAGCCCCTCAGGGCACAGTGCTGGCCCCTCTTCTCTTCACCCTGTACTCCTCTGACTTCCACTACAACTCGGAGCTGTGTCACATACAGAAGTATGCTGATGACACAGCCATAGTCGGATGTATCAGGGACGACGGAGAGGAGGAATATCGCTGTCTGGTGAGGGACTTTGCTCTCTGGTGCCACACAAACCACCTGGAACTCAACACCTCTAAGACGAAGGAGCTGGTTATAGACTTTGGGAGGTCCAGACCAATGCCGAGACCAGTCGTACTAGAGGGAACGGAGGTTGAGGTCGTGGGCTCCTACAAGTACCTCGGGCTGTGGCTGGACAGTAAACTGGATTGGTCAAAAACACCAGCCACCTGTACGGGAAGGTGCAGAGCAGGATGTACTTCCTGAGGAGACTGCGGTCCTTCAACATCTGCAGCAAACTGCTGTGGATGTTCTACCAGTCAGTGATCGCCAGTGTCCTCTTCTACACCGTGGTGTGCTGGGGAGCAGCACATCCAAGAAGGACACGTCCAGACTGGACAAACTGATCAGGCGTGCCGGCTCTGTGGTCGGCATGAAGCTGGACTCTCTGGTGACGGTGGCAGAGGCGAGGACACTGAACAAACTGCTGGACATCATGGACGATAGCAGCCACCCTCTACACGCCGTCATCAGCAGCCAGAGGAGCCTGTTCACAGACAGACTGCTGCTTCCCAAGTGCCGGACCAATAGATTCAAGAACTCCTTTGTCCCCCACGCCTTCAGACTGTACAACTCCTCACTGGGGGGTCGGAGGTGACACAGGACAGAGGGAAGAAGGAGTAGTTTTTCTACAAATGTGAACTCCATATTTATCAGGCCAAACCATACAGTGCAATACCATATCACTCACTGGTCAATCTATCGACCAAATTGCTATAATTTCCTTTTGTGTTGTATTTATATTCTTTGTTTTGTATTTAATTTGTATTTTTTTGTATTTTGTGTATGCTTACTGTGTGCCACATTTTTGCCTGTGAGCTGCTGGTAACTATAATTTCCTGAGGGAGTCTTCCCAAGGGATCAATAAAGTCAAGTCTAAGTCTAAGTCTAAGTCTATCTGTTATTTCATTTTCCTACCATCTATATTTGGGATTTAAATTTTGCACCAAATTTGAATCTCAAATTGCTTATTTTGAATGACTCCTGTTTATTTACAGAGCAAGATGCTGAAAAACAGCCTGAACCAAGTGTCCTTGCTGATTGCATTAGCGATTATTTGAATGCTCTTATTTTTATTCTGAGGTCTGGGGCTAAATTAGAGGCTGCAGTTTTACTAGTTAAGAAATCATATTCATATTCAACAGCTCTTCTGCTTTCTTGCACCACGTGTGCATGTGTGCACTTTTGTGCGTGCATGTTGGCGTGTGCCTTGGTGCCAGTATCATTCAGCCTTGAGATGCCTTCAGTGCCTGTAGGCATTAGAATCAGGGTCACGTTCCAGCGGACAATTCGGACAAAATGGTCTTTAGGAGGAGAAGTCTGTGTGTGCATCTCTCAGCGGGTTTTGTGTGCTGTGTTGGAAAGCAGTATAATCATATCATGTAAGACTTCATTAGAATATTAAAATAAACATAGAATATCACATTAAGTAAGATGAAAAGATGCAATCATGAAACATAAGACTGCTTCAAAGATGATGCTACTTTAGGTTTGAACAGTACTTCCCTTCTCTGCTGTCTTTTCTTTCTTTACTTTTCCTTTACATGTGTTTGGCATCTCTTACTTTATCCAAGTATAGCCTTGTCTACTCTGCTTTTAATGTCTCTAAAACCCAATTGTGAGAAATCAGGACCCTGCTGAGGAAACTTCCTGTAGCTTCTTTGAGCTGGTCCTGCCCGAGGCTCCAGGAGTCAAAGTTTGAACACTGGGAAACCGAGCCCAGGAGCTGAATTGGGGGTTTCCATTGCTATATTGTGGCCACTGCTCTTCTTATGGTCTGTTGTGGTGACCAAAGAGCTGAGCTAACAGGGAAAGCTCTTCATTTACTTAATGTCAGTAATTACCTCCAGCTGTCCCTCGTCTCCTGATGACCTCACCTCTCAGTCCCAGTGTTCTGTGCTTGATTCTCCCCCCATGTCCTGCTCTGGTTTCTTCATGTTTTTATCTGTAAGTCAGCAAGTTTACAATTAAAGTCCTTATTCGCTTTAGGAAGATCTCTCTGCCACCTCCCAAACTATGACGCTGTCCTTTCCTCCTTTAAATATCTCATAGATTATCTGAGGTGCTAGCCTGTCGAGGACATTCATACTCTGGCAACTAAACCAACTATTGGCACTTTGGCTCATGGTGTTTAGCATCAAGTCTTGCTGAACAATGAGATCAGCATCGCCACAATGCTTATCAGTGAAGGAAGCCTGAAGTTCCCTGGTCGGCTGCAAGGACTTAAGAAAACACTGTAGACCAAAAATTACAGAAGACATGGCTCCTCAAGTTATTGCTGACTTGTGGAAACCTTGTACTAGTGCCGATAGCTGCATTTCCATTGACAATATAATTCCACAAATTGGAAAAAAATTGCTTATTGGAAAATAAAAACATTTTTTTAATTACATTTCTTATTTAATGAAAACACAATTACAAAATGGTATTTATTCAATATTAGCGGCGTATCAACAGTTTTGTGCATATTTGTGATCTAAGTTGCTACTGCTATCATTACAAATGCCAGTGGTCTTTTTTTCTTTTTTGTGGCCAATGTGAAATATTTCTGTATCTTAAACACTTTTTTTAGTTGTAATATTCAAAACTAATTTTGTGTTTTCATTTTAACCAAAATTAAAAGAAATTGGGCTTTAAAAATCTCTATGTAAATATTTGAATTGAGATGAACCTGCATTCAATTTACCTCTTGACTCAAGTTTTATTCTCATTTGCTTATGTTACTACAATAACTTTAGCATAAGTCGGAACACAACCAGATACTCATTATTTTCAGTATTTATATTTTTATTACGGAATTCAAAATAAATATGAGTTGTTTTTTTATATATATAAATTACAGTAACTGTAATTTCAGCGATTTTTACTTTTCCCTCTTCTTTGTCCCCCCTCTCAGGGGATCTCTGTTGGAGGCAAAACTGGCCTTCAGCTGCATTTTTGACACATTCCCGGACCAATCAGCTGCAGACGTCAGCAGCGTGAAGACCAATGGCAGCATCCTGTGGGCGTCTCTGGCCACACTGAGTGCGTATTTTGGAGTTTGGTAAATGACTGCAGCAGGAAAATACAGTGTCGAAGCGCACAGAGCTGGCACTGCTGTGTGTATGTGTGCGAGTGCGTGTCGGTGCGCGCTAGGCAGTGGTCACCTCTCCTGCCATGGAAGAGGGTCCACATCGGTCGGACACATAGGGCTGCATCTTATTGTGAAACTCTGCTCAACAGCGGGACTCTGTGCTTTTGTTGGGATTTAACGCGCCCGGTGCGCCGGTGGGAGCGGATGCGGAGCACAGCAGCGGTCGCCGGCGCGTCTCCAACTTGACCACCACCAGACAATGGGAGCAGCTGAGCCGAGCTGCTGCAGCGCCAAGTACTACTACAACTGCTCGCCCCTGGGAGATAAGTACGAGGAGAAGAGGGAGAACCAGCAGCGAGAGGAGGGGGTAAAGAAGGAGAGGGAGAAGAGGAGGCAGACGTGTTGTACCTGCAGCAGCAGCAGCAGCGCCGGGACTCCCACAGCAGCCGATACGCACAGATCCAGAACGACGCTCCGGCTGCCCCTGGGATCCATGTGAGACGGAGCCTGCAGATGTAAGAGAAAGCTCTCCTCTGTGTGCGGATTTTGGGAATATAGTGCATTCATATTTGTTTCAGCGCTCCAGGGACAAGCGGACGCCGGTTTCTGCAGTCAAACAGCCACTGAAGGAATATGTCTCATTTCTCTGTTAACTGCGGCGGAGTGCACAGACCGGACCTTAGAGTCATTGCCTGTATTTATGTCAGGTATTAGCAACCTGCAAGCGGCTGCTGTCCTCTGAAACCAGTGACCCCCCCTCCCCTCCCTGCCCTTCTTTCCCATCTTTGTCCCCGGTTGTCCCCCCTTGAACCAAAACCTGGACGAGCTTCCTCCTTACGGTACCTCTGGCTGCCTCTGTCCGAGGTCCTGAACACATTTTCGGGCTGGATTCAGTGGATTTTCTGTTGCGGCGGCGCTGGAGGAGTGAGAACGGACACAGGCATGATTTTATGGAGAGTGAAGTGATGGCCATCCCGCGGCTCGGCACTGGAGAACACGGGATCTGAAACGGACACGCACCCACCGAGAAGCAGGACATTCTGGCTCACCTTGGAGGTCATAAACCATTGCCCAAGCGCCCCCCTGTCCCCGTCTCCAGACCTCCTTCTCAGCCTTTTCTGAAGAGTGTCCAACACCTTCACAACCCCCCTCCAAATAAAATGAGACTGGCAAAAATGTGCCGACTGAACGCGCTGGGGATCTATTTGTGGGAAACGGTTTTATTTTTCAGGTAAGCACAGGCATGGAACTGAGTTGATGGGCGGGGAAGGAAAAGAAATAACCAAGAGTGTGTAATTTGTTTGGGGATTTAATGAAAAGCAAGTGAAATTAGCATTTTTATTGCCTCGATGCGGTCTGGGACATGCATGGAAATTAAAGCTGCGTTCAAAAGTCTTAAAAGGAGAAAAGGGAATTCCGGGGAGAAAAGTTGTCAAAGTTGCCTGTGGGTTGTGTGAGTTATGGCCGATAAGTATGCGCGTCCGTGGGAAGCACTCCCTGTGATGAAGTTGCATTGAAATCAGACAGGGTTTGTTTTTGGGCGGGAAGTGCGACCGCTAGTGGATGGATATCGTCTGGGGCATTAGTTCCACATTTTAATCTTCTATAATTATGCAGGATACATTTAATCAAAACACATACACACAGCAATGAAGTTCATAATTTGTGCTCTCATGTGATTCCTCACCCCTCAGCTACCTTCCTTTTTATTTTCCTATGATGCCCCATGACCAAGACTAACACAGCACAAACCTAAATGTGTGAGTTGGGATTATCACAAACAAGCAGTTTGATCCAATTACTTTAATTTGCCTAATTTGCTCTTCTGTAGAAATATGTCAGTACTGTAAAATATTATCACTAATTTGGGTTTAAAAGTTATTTTCATTTTACTTAGATTCATTACTCATGTTTTAGAAATAAATAGTTTGTGTATTTTCTTGTTTATGGTTTGCAGCTAATAAAAACTCAATTTGATTTAGCTGAAAATAGCAATATAACTTCATATCATATCTTACAATTACATGAGTGGAAGGTTGTGTGGAAGGAAGACGTGTTTTAGAAAAACTTAGCATGTAATATGCATAGTAGCTTCATGTTATACAAACAACATCTGTAAAACCAAAGTTCGGTTTGACCTTCTTCACTCTGATTTTATGATTTCTTTTATTTGTAGAAAAGGAATGGAGTACAGGATACAGTGAAACAGAGAAAGCCTCAGAAAGAGGAGACTGTTTATGTATGATGCCAGAAAAAGAAATTACAAACAAATGTGGTATGAATTCCCTAAACACCCAAACAAGTACTGGAGAGGAAACAAGTAGAGGTCATATTATTGAGTTGTTTCAAATGCTGTGAAGGTTTGCAGTTTGCTCCCTTAGTTTAGTAGAAACTTACTGGTGAAATTTGAAACAGACAATCTTTTATAAAACATGCAATAAATCATTGCGTCAGATCAATAAAACTGAATAGTTTGGCAAATTTGATGGATTTCCAATTCAACTGACGAAACAATTAATTATTGACAGAAAAGTCAATAAATTCTCTAAACTTTCAAAGTTCAGACTTAAAACTCGGTTTAGTTTAAATTGTGAAAAAAAGTTTTTAAATACTATACCCACATATTTGTATGCATCTCTAAACTTTTTCATTTCTGGTGACAAATCCTTTCATTTCCCAACCTAAATTTTACTATCAAAGTTCCTGCATCCCTACATTATGAACCTTTTGGCAACATTTTGGGAACATATTTTTTTACAAACTTGTAAGACTGATTTATTCACAGAAAAATCATTGTTGCTGTAAATGATCAAGGATTCAAACAGGATTTGAATCAGACAAATCCTACCTGAACACATCTATTATTTTGTGTAGCAAAGAACAGAGGACATGCGTTACTCAGCTCTTTACTATTTGTTTCCCTTTTCTAGATGTATAGAAGCTGAAGAGTTAATTATTCAATCAACGAAATGAAAAGCACCAGTACCACTTGCAGCACAATAGCCCCACAGCATGCTACCGCCACCGTTCTTAACCGTGTTCTTCGGTTCAAAATATTCTTATATTTGTGCCAAATAACTCCGACTTGTCTGATCATAAAACCTCACTCTGGGAAGGGTTTGGCGTTTTTTCTGACCGTCTGTAAATGAATCAAGCTTGAAGGTGTCTGTTGGTTTCTGAGTGAATTAAACAGGGTTTGTTGTAGAGAGTGAAATCTGGTGATGCAGCCGTTTATAATTTATGGGAGACTTCTTGAGCTTTGGTTGTTGCTGGGTTGTTTTTAAAGATGTTTTTACTTGTTTCAGTTAATCTAAGAAGGTAATTGTTTTTTTTTTTTACAGACATTTTACAAAATAGTGACGTTAATTATTTGATGTGAGAATCTTGGTGTCTATAGTTGTTTAGAATAAGGCTCCATAAAGTCTTATTAACTTGCATAAATAAGCCTAGAGTTTTTCTTGTTAGAAAATAAAGAAATTTGATTAAACTCAAAATCTATGATTGGTCAATCCAGTATGGTAGCATGTATTTTTATGCTACCAAAGAAGGTACCAGGTGGGCTTGCTCTTGATCACTAACCAGAAGACAAAATATATTGTAGGACTTTCTGCACAACTTTTTCAAAAACATATAGGTTATTTTTAAGAAAACATTTTGGCGTGTATGCATTTTGACCCTGCATGTATGAAGTAAAGAAAGTAGTTCGAATAAATCAATAAAAACACACATTTATTAATGTAGATATGAACTTATTTATGGGATTAACTTGATTTAAAGTTAAATTTGGCTGCATTTGATAGAGTTGGACTTGATTCTTTATAGCATTGTGAGTTAATGTTTTTAGAATGTCCTCTGAGGCTTAGTAAAGTCTTATGTTTGTTAAAGATGTATGTGGCTTAGAATGGAAGACTTGTGCTGCAATAGACAGCAAGATGTCTATCTATCTCCGTTATCAGTCCTGTGGGAGATCAACCAGTTCTGTTTTGGGTAGATACTTCAGTTTTTCCTCTCCTATTACTAAATACTGTCACATCTCAGTACTGAGGCTGACTACACTTCACTTTGGCTTTAATCCTGCCCACAGCTGCTGATTGGCAAATCGTCAGTCTTCATGCTCCGCTCAGTGAAACAATGTCTTTCCAACCGAGAAATGAATGTTTCATGTCATGATGCGAGACAAATCATTCATCTCAGTGTAGCAGAAAGACCCAAAGGTCTGCATTACTCCAACCTTAGTCTCTGTGATGACACAGACAAAGGCATCAGTTATTTTGTGGATTCCCTTATATCTGGTATTCAATAATAAATAGTGGTGAATTAGAAGATAAGAATTTAAACTTTTATTTTTTTTATTTATTTCCAGCCTTTTTAAAGATCTCATAAGAAATTGTGCACCTGAAACTAATTTTCAGCGAAATAATTACTGCTGAGATGACATCTCTTAAAGTTTTATAATTTTTAACACAAATAATCAAATTTATTCACATTGGGAGTGGTTGAGTTTGATGGCAGGACAAAAATGAATGTTAATTTAATAAAAACTGAAGGCGAAAATGGAACTTGATGTTCTAGAAAGTCTTTAAAAGCCATGTTGATGTTGCAACTTTTAATCAGAGACAAGAAAACAAGTTCTTATATTAAATATTACTCAGCTCTGATCATTTTAATACACTCAAGTAAAAAAACTAAAAAGTTTTTTTTTTAAGTGCTGTATAGGAATTGTGACAGACTTTTTATTTCATTTTATTTTTTTTTTCTCATAGTGGGATTTCGTTGGCCACTGAATAGCTTGATTCTATTTGATTGTTCCTTTAGAGATGTTTTCAAAGAATTGCCAATAAATTTGGCTAATTCTGTTTGCAAGAAAGCTGCACTGCAATGCCTATTTAGTTAGGTATTGTTTTATCAATCAACATTTTTAAAAAACTTTTGACAAATCGTAATGAAATTGAAGTTGATATGTAACAAACTAATCTACAATAGTTAAAAGTAATGGATATTATAAAGAAGTCAATCTGTAAAGGAAGTGTAAAACATTTAAAAGTACTTTTGATATTTCTGCACTGTGCAGCTCGTACATTTAAAACTAAGACTCCTAGTATAACCCTGCTTACCTTCATAATATCATTTGGTGATGATTTAGAGCTGCTTTGAATTTAACCTGCAGGTATAATGCACATTTTTCAGTTCATTGCATCACGTGGATTTATTCTCGCTGCACAGCCTCTGAGGTATCTCATTATAAAAACTATTAGAAGCATTTTTCCACAAGCTGCAGACTTCCTCATTTTATGGAATTAGGCAGCAATTTACAGCTGGAACTGGGGGTATTTTAGTGGTCTGCAGGAGTTCTGCATTCAGCGTACACACTGATTAGTAATGAACCACCGTCAGGTATATTGCTGTCTCAGCTTCTCGGCTCTGAACTCTGCAGTTTTCCGCTTAATTGATATCTCTTTCCCCTCCATCCCAACCCAGACCCCTTACACCTCATTCCCCATTCTGCCTTATTACTAAACATCGATTAGCCCGTCAATGACTGAGGCCAGACCTGATGAATACACATTAAATGCTTAAACATCGCTCTCTTTTTCCTCCCTCTCTATGTCTGTGCTTTTTTTTTACTCATTAAAACAGCTGAGAGTTTAGAATTTAGATGCAGAATTTAGTACAGGAATTCTTTCAAAAAAGGCATTAAGGAGATGAGATAAAGCAATGACTCACTGAACATATCTTTACAGTGAATGTTTGATCTTCGCCTTCTTCCGTGTTCAGTGAAACATTTGCAGGACAGACAGTCTGCATGTTTTTGAGACTCTGAAAAAAGAAAATTTACAGCTTCATTTTTTTCATTTCATTGCCTGATTTTTAGCGCAAATGATTCATTGTAGTATATTAGTCCACAGACCCACAGCATTGCAGTTCCTCCACCATACCTAACATTGAACATTTGGTGCACTTGGACTTACAGGTTTTCCTCCTTTGTTTTACACCAAATCCAACTGGAGTGTTTGTTGCTCAAAACCACCATCTTAGTTGAATCAGAGTAAATCTCACACTGTTTCAGTTAAAATTGCAACAGGAATTAGCCAACTTTAAACATTTGCAGCATGTTTGTGTTGTTAGGGGACAAATTGCTTTTTTTTCTCATTTCCTGGCAGACAAATAGCCTGTAATAGTTGTGGTGATTTGGTAATCTCAGGATGCTGTGTTTTGCTGCAGCTCTCAAAA